CGGGCGGGGCGTCATCCCAAGGCAGAGGCCGGGCACCCCACTCTTGCACGGGGAGGTGATCCCGCCCCCGAGGGACAACGCAGCCGCACCTCTGGCCTAGGCAAGACCCGGAGACGCCAAGGGCAGTGGGGTCAGGGCCACTGCGGTCACCCGGCCCCGCGGGTGGGGGTCCTCCCAAGGATACCAGCCCACTCCCCTGCCCGGAGGCCACCTGGCAGACCTGGGGTCTTAACTTAGTCTGGGACCGGCTTGGTGCTGGGGACAGAGGGACCCGAGGCCCCCAATGCACACAGGCAGTTGCCGGCTAACACCCTGATGTAAATGGGGAAGAAAATAAGTCTTCGCTCGCCTGGAAGAAAAGCCACAAAGATGTAGCTGGTTCTTTTCATGGCAAAGATGAGCCCTACGCACCTACCTGCTGGTGGGCACCGTGGTGACACCTCCCCAAAGGCCTGAAGACTTCCCAGCAATTCCACTCTTGGGGCAAAACGGATGTGCACAAAACGGGACCCATCCTGAAAGGCCATCCTGATGAGACCTGCAATGAGCGATGGAACACGACCTCTGTTCATCCACAGGGGCTGGTGAGGTGATTAACGAGAGGACATTTACCAACAACGGCAGGGTAAGGACACAAGGTGCTGTTCAGATCGCCATTAGGCCGGTATCTTGCCACCTTTAGGGAGACCAAAAGTTCACCCTCCTGAGATTTCAAAATGACTGAAAATGAAAGAGGCAGACACTCAAGCACATGCTTTTAAAAGCATCCCAGCCCTTTGGGAGGCCGAGGCAAGTGGATCGTCTGAGCTCAGGAGTTCGAGACCAGCCTGGACAATACAGTGAGACTCCTCTCTACAAAAATAAAAATGAAAAAATTAGCTGGATGTGGTGACACATACCTGTAGGCAAATGGAATGGAACAGAAACCCCAGAAATAACACCTCACAAATGTGGTCAAATGATCTTCAACAAAGTGCCACTGGGGAGAGGACAGTTCTCCAAATGGGAAAACTGGGTATCCATATACAAAAGACCCCTTTTCTCACACCGTATACCAAGATGAACACAAAATATATTAAAGTCCTAAATGGAAGGTCTAAAATTATAAAATTCTAGAAGAAAACAGAGAGGAAAAGCTTTATGACATTGGATTTGACAGCAATTTCTTAGCTATTACACCAAAAGCACAGACGACAAAGGCAAAAACAGACAAGTGGGGCTATATCAAACTTTAGAACTTCTGTGCCTCAAAAAAAAAAGGAGGGGGGGAAGATAACCCACAGAATGGGAGAAAACATTTGCAAATCATGTATCTGGTAGGACTAATATCCAGAACACATAACTCAAAAACAAGAACGAATAGGCCACCTAAGCACTGGGCAGAGTAGACATTTCTCCGCTTAGACACGTAGTCGACCAACCGACGTATAAAAAGGTGCTCAACATCACTCATTGTCAGGGAAATGTAGGTCAAAGCCACAGGATACCACCTTGCCCCCTATTGGGAGGGCTGCTACAAAACCTAACACAAACCAGAAAATAAACATTGGCAAAGACGTGGAAAAATTGCAACCCCTGTGCACTGTTGGGGGGATGTAAACTGGTGCAGTTGGTGTGGAAAACAGTATGGAGGCTCCTCAAAAAGTTAAAAACAGAACTACCCCATACTCCAGCACTTCCACTTCACCCTCTCCTCACACAGGACCTGAGATGCACTGCCCATGGAGACTTGGCACCTGGGCCACTCCCATCCCATCTGGGACCCGGACCTTCCATATGCATGCACTGAGCTCAGCCTGCTGCAGTGAGTTCCTCTGGCTCTTCCTTAAGGAGCTCAGCCCTGCATCGTACTCCTAAGAAGTGTTTCCAGACCAGGCTCGGTGGTTCAGCCTGCAATCCCAGCACTTTGGGAGCCCGTGAGTTCGAGATCAGCCTGGGCCACTTGGTGAGACCTTGTCTCTACAATAAATTTTTTAAAAATTAGCCAGGCATGATAGCTTGTACCTGTAGTTTCAGCTATTTGGAAGGCTGAGGTGGAAGGATCACCAGAGCCCAGCAGGTCAATACTGGGGTGGCCATGAGTGGGCCACTACTCCAACCTGGGTGACAGAGCGAGACTCCATCTTAAAAAAACAAGTGTTTCCAGTTTTGTATACTACGTGAAAATACACAGGAACTGCGGAGAAAGAGCTACTCCCAATTTCTAGGAGACCAAGAGAACAGAGGAACATGCTAAACAAAGACAGAGGAGCTGAAATAAGAGAAATGTAGATGCTGGCAGACTCCAAGGACAAGCAACCCAGTTTCTTCAACAAATGTGTCTCCAGAAAGGAGGATGGGCCCCACCCTCGACAGAGGCAGCCCATGGAGTGTAGGTGGCTTAGAGACCTGGCAACTGATTCAATGTGGAGAACCTGCGCCCTGATGCAAACAAAAAAATCTCTATTTTGAAATACGGATGTGTAAGACAGCTGTAAACTTGGGCCTTGACTGGATATTTGTTGGTATTAAGGAGTTTTTAAACAATGCAATAGTAATATCATCTTGGTCTGTCTGGCTGCAAAATATCATAGACTGGATGGCTTTTGTACAACAAAAGTGTATTCCTCACAGTTCTGGAGGCTGGGAAGTCCAAGGTTAAGGTGCCAGCAGCCAGCATTGGGTGAGGGCCCGCTGCCTGTTCCGGTTCGGGGATGGTCCCATTGCTCTGAGTCTTCATATGGTGCAAGGGGCTCTACCCTCGTGGCCTAATCGCCCCTGAAAGGCCCCACCTCCTCACACCAGTACCATGGGGACTAGGTTTCAACCTGGTGTGGGGGGAACACAAATACTCATTCCATCGCAGGCATCATGTTTTAAAAACCCTTGCGTTGTAGATAACACACTGAAATACAAATGAAACTGATGTCTGGAATCTGCTTCCAGCGAGCTCGGGAGTGGGGAAGTGGGTGGCTAGGATGAAGAGGAAGCCAGAGTGGCCGCAACTTGGTCACTGTTGGATTATTGAAGTTAGGTTCAACACACACAAGGGTTCGTTACACAAGTTCCACTTCTTTTATAAATAAGAAGCTTTTTTAAATAGGCCGGGCACAGTGGCTCAGCCTGTAATCCTGCGCCTTGGGAGGCTGAGGTGAGTGGATTGCCTGAGCC